TATGCATGATGAAGAAACTAATAATAGGACAAGAAAATGATCGAAAAATAAAAATATAGAAATACTTAATTACTTAAAATTACAAACTAGAAGAAGCCACATTTTTTTCTTTCTTTCTTATTATCTTAACACTTATTTAAATCTTTTTTTTTTTTTTTTGACATTGAATTTATTTTTTATTATTATTTTTCTTTCTAGTAACACGCTTATTTCTGTCATTTCGAGATTAAGAAGACGGCGACCCATTAGTACCAAGATCATGGCCACTACTACCACTATTTTCTTGAAGGTGGCGCTGACCCAAATCTTCACCGTTGTGGAGGTTGTTGCCGTCTTGGTGGTGGCTGTGCACGGCGGCGGAGGTGGTGGTGAGGGCGTTAAATATAGTACCACTTGTACTGCCAGAAGTGTTCTTGTGGTTATGCATCCACACTTTGAAGACATCTCTGTTTACACCAATTTCGCTGCAGAAATCTGTGATCACGTTTTCGTCTTTTTTCTGCATATTCCACTCGATTTTGCTAGCAAATTCCAGCATTTTGTCTTTCTGATCAATAGTGAACTTTGTTCGGAAGCGTTTTTTATTATCTGCGGCGGCGGAAATAGGCCTTTTATTGTCCGGCGGAGACAGCCCATGGCTGAGGGCCATAAGCATGTGGGGTGCGGAGGGGTAGTAGTATGTTGAAGAGATCGGCGGCGGGGAAGGGGAATTGGTCGGGCTGTTGTTGTTCGGGCGTTTTGATGGAAGCGCCAGCGGAGGGTGGTGGCGGTGATGAGGTTGGTACTCAATAGCCAGGGTGGGGTACGGCGGTTGAAATAAGGGTTCTTCGACCTCACGGCGGTGGAAGTTGCGGTGACAGCCGCAGGCGACGCATTTGAGAGAAGTGGGGTCAGAGTAGGTGGCGTTGGGGGAAGCCAGGAACTCCAGGCAGCCATCCACGGCGTGACCACCCATGCTGGCCGCATAGTTCCTGGCACATTCTTTGTAGGTCACAGTAGCCGCCATAGGTTGGTGATTGAGTGGAGCGTGGCGCTTCAGTACGCCGTTGCTTAAGAGTGAAGGCTTTTTGGGTTGAGTCTGAGTGGTTATTTCAGTCTCAACTTCTGGAGTTTTCACAGTGGCTGTTGGTATTGAGTTGGTCAATTCCATGGCGGTGGTGATGGAGGTGGAGATAATGGGCGTAGTGAGGAGTGAGGACTGTAGAAAATAAATAGTTTTTGGAACTGTGGTTGTGCTTCTTAACCATGGTTCTAATCTTTGGTTATCTAGCTGACCCCATTTGATACATTTGTCGTTTGAATTATAATTACACAATTAACGTCATGTTTGGTGGGATTATATTCAAGTTTTTAATTTAAATCGAAGTCAATAATTTATATCAGCCTCATACTTTTTCAACACTCATTTTATCAATTTTTATTAAAATTTATTAAGCTCCCGTTTGGCCCCATTAAATTATAATTCATTTTTTTCTTTCCTTATCAACTACACATTCTATAATAAAATAATA